CCCCCTACCAGTAGTTGGATTAGGCGCAAAGAACTAAAGTTACAATATCGGAGAACAAAAGACTGAGACTCTGCCCCTAACTCTTGTCATATTTTTGTTAATTTCCCTTCTGGGGAAGTCCAAGTCCTCATGGCAATACTTTAAGGCCTGAGGTCTGAAAGGGTCTGTAGAATGAGAAACACAATAGAATGTTAGAGGGTTACCCCTCTAAGTATTCCAAGTTTCTTTTCTCTCTGAAGAGTCAAAACCACAGGATGGTGCAATGAATGTGGAGGTCAGAGGGCCCAGGGGGAAAGGTGGTATTGATTATCTGAATGCTATTTTGAGTCCTTTACGTGTTTTCTGCATATTCTATGGCATGTAAGAAAGAGAGGCTGTTCTGTACCTGATATATGCATTATTATCTTAAGTGCTGGTATGGGAGCTAGAGACCCTTTTAAATATGTCTGTGGAAATCTGTATACAAGGCAACTTTGGGTAGGGGTAAAAGAAGTCAAAGAGAGAAGAATTTTCGGGGGGGAGGCTCCCAAGATTGAACTAAATCTACCTAAGACCACAACTTAGGGCAACCGACCATGTGTTATTTCCAATGTAGCCTCTCTTAACTTCCCCGTCCTCCCTCTCATTCCATTAGTGGAAGCACACAGTATGCAGAGAAACAAGATTAATCTGAAATGCAATATTAAAGTATATTAAAACAAGTGATGCAGTAGAGTGGAAAGAGCCTTGGATTGGGAAGTCAAAAGACCTGGGTTTGGCTCCTAGTTTTGCAGCTCAGTAGCTGTATGACCTAAGGTAACATATCTCACCTTACTGGGCCAGTTTCTTCATCTGTAAAATGAGAAGTTGGGCGGGATGAGAATTTCTAAGGTCCTTTCCAGTTCCAAATCTCAAGGATTATTTTAACAGGAATGAATATGCCAAAATAGCATCTGAATAATAGTCACTATTATTTTAGTAGCCGTGTAATGGAAAGAGCATGAAGTCACTTGTCAGAAGAACTTGGTCCTGGTTCTAGCTTTGCTACTGATTAGTCATGTTATCTTAGGCAAACCATAGTACTGTGCACACAGTAGGAACTTAATAGTGTTGAATTTGAATCGCTTTACTTACTTGTGTTCTTGAAAGAGACCTGCTCTCTTCTCTACTCCAATTTCATCTTTTACTTTGATGATAGTTATTTATATTTTAGCTTCAAAGCAAGTTTAAAGATGCTCTATTTATTTATTTTTGGGGGGGCTAGGCAATGGGGTTAAGTGACTTGTCTAGGGTCATACTGCTAGTAAGTGTTATATGTCTGAGGCTGGATTTGAACTCAGGTCCTCCTGAATCCAGGGCCAGTCCTCTATCCACTGTGCCACCTACCTGCCTCTTAAAGATGCTTTATTATAAAAATAAGTGGATTCTGAAAAATTTCCCCAACCTCATTTATACCTTGCTACTGCTTCTCCTTATGCTATTGTCCTATCATTCTCCATCCTTGAAAGAAGTCTACTTTACTGTCTTCATTTCCTTATCATCCACCTAGTCCTCAATGTGCTATAACTTTACTTTCACCTACACCATAGCCAAATCCAAGGGCCTTTCCTCAGTTCTCCTCCTCTTCAATTTCTGTTATTCCACTGCCTATATTCTTCAAGCCCTTCTCCCTTCACCTCTGTGGCAGCATCTTTCCATAGTTGTTCTTCTTCTTCCTCTTTGGTTTTGGTAAGGGTATTCCCACAAGTTCTGTTCCATATAAGTCTAGTGATTTCTTGTCTGTCTCTAACTAGTCTTCAATCACCAACGGAAATGCCACTTTCTCCATGAAGCCTTCCCTTCACGCTAGTTATCTCCGTACATGTTGTCTCTCCTAACTAGACTAAAAACTTCTTTGTATGTTGCCAGTAATTTTCCCTAAGTGTGAATCCAACCATATCACTCCCATACTCAATAAACTCCACTGGCCTGAATCAAATGTCTCTAGGATAAAATATAAACTTCTCTTTTTAGCTTTTATAGCCTTTCACAACCTGGCCCCATTCCAGCCTCATTATACATTTCTCCTTTTCCTGCAATCTATGGTCCAGACAAATTGGCATTTTCTCATTTCCTCACATATGTTCCTCCCTCCTCACCTCTGCTGCCTCACAGTGTCTCTTACTTCCTTCAGGATTCAGCTCAAGGACCACTTTCTACACAAAGCCTTTCCTGAGGAATGAAAAAAAGAATAATTAAGCACTTAACACTGTGCTAAGTGCTTAGATGAGCAGAGCAAAACTGTCCCTGCTCACAAGAGACTCACATGCGAATAGGCGGAGGCCACACATAGTGGAGTACAAGTAGAATAGAAAGGCCTTTAGCATTCAACGGCAAATCAGAAGGCAATGCATGTATTTTAATGTCTCATTTCCATAAAAGAATCATATCTGTTAGTGACGTTGAGCCATCTGATGGTGCCAAGTACTTTGGTGAAGAAAATGTATTTTTCTTGTGTTCAATAGCTGTGATTGTGGAGAAGGCCTCAGCTGTAACACCTGCAGATCCTCAGTCTCACTCCTTCCTCTCTAGCTACGTTTTATTTAATTACCTTGTATTTATTTTTATCTATTCCATATATACTTACATGTATACACTTCTCTTCTGACAAACTCCCCCAAAGCTGGGGTTGTTTCATTTTTTTGTCTCTGTATGCCCAGTGCCTAGCACAGAGTAGGTACTTAGAGACAGAAAGGAAAGCAGGTCCTGAATGTTAATTAGGATAGCATGAAACAAGCTTTTGCACAGATCCTACCTTTCACTTTGGGTAATAATTCTGCTCCACAAGCAATACAGCAAAGTCCTGATTTGCAAGGCTGGTTACTTGTGTCCTTTCACAACAAACAAGAGTAATATGTTAACATCAGAGGTGATGCTTAACATCTAAATATAAAGATAATGTTCATGAAAAAATAAGCTCCATCAAAGTGATATTCTAACCAAAATTAATGTTAAAATTTAATATGGAAATTTAAGGGGTTCATCCTGCTGGAAGCAGTAACAAATCTAAATCAATATTTAAGGCAAGGGTTCTTAACTTGGATTCTATTAACTTTAAAAACATATTTTGATACGTTTATTTCAATATAAATGGTTTCTTTTATAATACTATGTACTTTATTTTATGCATTTCAAAACATATTCTGAGAAACACAGATTTCACCAGACTGACAAAGAGATCCATAACACAAAGACAATTACGAATCCCTGATTTTAATGCCTTTAAAACTCATATTGATTTAAAATACTAATAGCACCTAGAAGGGGCAAGCAGCTATCTTAATTTGCTAATTATAGGCCAACTGTACAATTTAGTACATTATGAAGGAAGAAGATCTAAGATTTTAACTGCAGAATGTGAGCTTTGAATACTATGACTGAATGACTGAAAAGTAAACAGACAGATCTCTGCATAAGAAGTCTTTCTCATTACATTATGGTCACACTGAGCTGACCATTAAGCCATGAAGGTCTGGGTTCAAATTCTGCTTCTGACACATACTGGCTAGATAATCCTATGCAAATCAGTTAGCCTCTCAGTGCCTTAGGAAACTTTCCACGAATATAAATTGCAGAGAAGGGGCTGACCTACAGTGCTATGTCACATCCCCATTTCTAATGAAATCAAAGGCGCAGTCCCTATCTCTACTTAAAATTTTTAAAAAAGGAAGACAGAGACAAAAATTAATAGGGACAGGAACCAAACTTCTCATGTCAAAGGTAAAGAGAACTCCCTCTACCAGTGTACGTATAGTGGAAAAATCAAAGTGGCATCAGGAGGCCTGGACTGAAGCCAAGCTCTGCTGCCCATGAATGGTGGTGGCCTTTGGCAAGTTACACTTTCTTCTATGACCATTAGCTTCCTCATCCATAAAATGGGAATAAGCGCCCTTTCTACCTCACAGAGTTGTACTGAAGATTAAATGGAGTGTTTTACAACTGTGAAGTGATAACATAAATATAAGCTATTATCAAATGATAATATATGTATGTAAAATGTGTAAAATATGTAAGATTATATATCATATATATAGTAATGTTTAAAAGTAATAATAGCAACTAACGTGTGTGTGTGTGTGTGTGTGTGTGTGTGTGTGTGTGTGTGTGTGTGTGTGTATGGCTCTAAGCTTTGCAGGGCAGTTAGGTGGTACAGTGGATAGATACAGTGCTGAACCTGGAGTCAGAAAGACTCATATTCTTGAGTAAAAATCTGGCCTCAAACACTTACTAGCTGTGTGATCCTGGGAAAGTCACTTAACCCTGTCATTTCCTCATCTGTAAAATGAGCTGGAGAAGGAAATGGCAAACCATTTCAGTATCTTTGACAAGAAAACCCCAAATGGGGTCAATGAAGAGTCAGACATGACTGAAGTGACTGAATGTTTAATTTTGCAACATGATTACATGTACTATATCATCTGAGAAAGCAAAATGTCAGCTATTAAAATTATTATAAACTTTTAGTGCCAGACTTTACCTAGCCCAATTTTCTCATTTTATAATTGATGAAACTGAAGCCCATGATGGAGAAATGTCTTGCCCAAGGCCACATAGCTAGTCAGTAGCAGAACTTAAGTCTCCTTAATCCCAGCACTTTCCGTGAATTCTATGGTGGCAGCAGCAGCAACAGCATCATCATCATCATCATTCCAAATGCATGTCTACCTGGCTGAATACTTTATTCTATCTATGACTAATATGATAGGCATTGTAATTCATATTAATTTCAATGTGAAATTGCTTCCCATTTGAGCAAAAAGTAACATTTGGCTAGATTAAAAACTTACCAAAATCTGATGAACATCTTTTTTTTTGTTTTTGTTTTTTGTTTTTGGTGAGGCAATTGGGGTTAAGTGACTTGCTAGAGTCACATGACTAGTAAGTGTTACCTGTCTGAGGCTGGATTTGAACTCAGGTTCCCCTGACTGCAGGGCCAGAGACCTAATGAAACACTTTTTAAAAATGAAGACCGAGGCCACAAATACATTTTAGCACTTTATTGTAAAGGACATTCTGTCCAATTATATCTTACTGACAAGAGCATTTACTCAGATAAATGTTCACCTTGTTTTTTTAATCCAACCACAGTTTGCAAATGTCCTACCTTGCTTCACGACTTGTCTTATTTTTAATAACAAAAAAAAATAAGTAAACAGATAAAGGACCATGATCATTAGGAAAATGAAATTTAGAAGGTCTTTGAGTAGGTTTTGACAGGCATCTTTGTGGAGACCTTTGGGAAGACTCAGTGTTATATAACAGCTTTCTGAGAAACCAATCTAGGTCAACATTCACTTTCAAAGGTTAAGGTTCTGAGAACCACAAGTTTCTCTCAGTCCTTTCCCCTCCCAAAATACACTGGAATCTGACTACAACAGTTTGTTACAGAGAGGAATTCGGTATAAGGTAGATTGTCTTGGACTCCATCCAAGAGGGTTTAGTTACTGAAAGTACCTCATTATTAGGTGGTCTCACCAATAAGGTGATCCACTGGCATAAACCCCATGGATGTTATAACAAGGCTTCATTGTAGTTAACACAGGAAGCCAAGCAGCTAATGGTTCTATCAAAAGAAATCTTAAGAAACAAATTTTTTTGTAGATAGAGAAAAATCTTATGTGATAAAGGATCATGTGCAATATATATTCCCCATAGCATTGTTCTTCACTGGTTTTCTGACTGTTCAGCTCTCTTTTGATCCATATTTTGGGATCCTTTTAAGGATTTATCTTCTGATAGTGCTTTCCTATACAGACATACATTTAACCACACTTAGTAAATTATCATAGTTAAATATGATTAGAGGACAAGAAATAAAAAGCAGAAATTCATGCAGGTTTAGGTAAACTTTCTGCTTAAACAAAAGATATTTGAAGTAGGTGGGTAGCTGAACAGAACTGGAAAACAAAAGTGTGGTAATCAAGTATAAGAAGAAAGCCATCACTCTGATGGATTAAATGGGCATAAGATAAAACAACTTTCTTAAGTCATCACATACTAAATAATTTCAGCTTGATGGAATATCTTTATAACATCTTCTCAAAGACTGAATATTTTGAGTGTGTTTTATGGCAGGAAAATACCACGTAAGAACCATGTTGTTAAAGAGGCCTTATAATGATAATGTCTTATGAATTAATGGGCAAGTGTAGAATAAAATTCTTAAGGAAGATTTAAAAATAAAGCTTCATTCTGATGACAATTAAAAACAACAAACCAACCAACCCAAGATAATCAAATATATTCAGTAGGAACAAAAGCAAAAGAGCAGTTATTTATTTTAGGCACACATCCTAAGAAATTTGGTATAATGTTTTACCCTAAGATTCCAATATTAAGACATCTAACCTTTACTCTACAATTGTACCTTCCTTCCATGAATGAAGCCCTTTCTCCAGTGGATAGCTTTCCGGGTTCTTTGTCTGTATGCTCTAAATACTTTCAGGCCTTGAATAAATTCAAGATCAGATGGTTACTTTACATATAATGAGTATATAGAGTGCAAGTTATCTGAAAAACAACTATTTTATCTTATATATCCTCTATATCACTCTAAAATAAATCAGCCTGTCTTCCTATAATTTGCATATAGCTATAATTTGTATATAGTTTACAAAGCAATAAGTTATCCTCAATAAAAGCTATTCTTTCTCTTACTATAAGTAAGCATTTGCTTTCTTGGTGCTATTTAAAGAGTAAAAGAACACCCTTTTCTAGTATACTTGGCTAACTGCTTTATTTCAACCAGTGAATTTTTCAGTTTTAATCTTTCAGCTCTATAGAAGATGACAAGAGAGATCCTTAGGACCATGCAAAATAAGGCCTATGTTCACCAGTATAAACTGTATATCCCTGATAACAATGCTTATATAAGATATTGGTATATATAAGTAACATACATGTAAAATAACAATATCTTATTTAAGCATTTGGGGACCTAAAAATTGTACCTAATACTACAAAAACTAACTTTCCCATCCCCTATCTACCACCCCCTCCCAAAGGGCAGCAACCTAAACAGTAAAAACAGCTAGCTCCAAGAGCTATCATGATAAAGGAGCTCCATGGTTTACCAACATTTGGAATTTTTTTGTTAATCCCATTTCACAAAAACCATTACAACTTACCAGATTGAAGAGCAATGAATAATACATAGCAACCAAGTGAGATTAGTGACTATTGCTTTTATTTGGCATGGAACACCAAATAATAGGCTGGTTATTAAGAAATAGATGCAGGTCTTTAAGCAAAGCCAGGATAATCACAGATCTAGATCTGCGCTGGAATTTGTCCAATCCTCTCATTTTACAGATGAAGAAGGTAAGGCCCAGAGATGATAGGTAACTAGCTGAAGGTACCTCACACATAGGTATTATATAGCAGAACTGGGATTTGAAGGAACTAAGGAACTAAGGCTTTCAAATTTAGTGCTCTTTCCACTGTAAAAAGTCTATTTCACTTTTCTCAATATTTATTGGTAGAGTTGCATGCAAGTCAAATTCTTGTTATTTAAATCATGTTTTAAATATTCACTTTTAAAGGAACATGGTATAATTCTATTTGAGAATTGAGAGTCCTTTAGAATGGCAAATAATCTGAGACTAATTTAGCAGTCTTCAAAGTCCATATATTTCATATACTGAGTTTTAAATAAGTGAGGGCATGCAATCAGTCCTAAGACCTCTTCCAAGTCTTAAGTTCTAGGACCCTATGAATGGTGATGACATTTTTACAAGCATGCTACAAATGCCCTCACTATGATCTCCATGCAGCATGGGGTAGTACAAGAGCATTGGACTCAGTCAGGAGGCTTGGGTTCTCATCCCAGCTCAGCTAGGAACTGACCCTGGATCATAACCACGGGGCTTTCTTTCTTCCTCTGTAAGGTGAAGAGTTGCTATTAGTTGACTTTCAGAGTCCCTTCTTTCTCTAATTTCTATGACTTTATGATCACTATAAGGCATTGATACAAAGCAACGTGATTGCTTTTCAATAAAGACACCTGCAATATACTTCCAAAAGAGTGATGTCTGTCACCTTAGGAGCTAGTACATACACTGGCTCTCAGAAGACTGTCGTTGCTCCAGAAGTAGTCAGAATTCCTCTTAATAGCCTATGGGAACACACATCTGAATAGTCTCTAAGAAGGAAAATTTTCATTTTGGGGGGGAAACAGCCTCAAATCAATCATCTATTAAAGAAGATCAGTGATTAAATTTTTGCTTGGGGTCAAGAATTAGCATTGCTTATAATGTAATGGAATTGATTTTGTGGATCTCATAAACCAGCTCCAAGGCAATTCCTAAATAGGCGATCCAAGCAAACTTTGAGTAAAGGCAGAATTATTGAGATAAAGGACAGCTTACCTTAGGGTCTGTTCTGCTGGGACAGAATTAATGTGTATTATAAGTTTGAGTATATTTGTTTTTTAAGAATCTGTCAAAATCCAATTTAAATTCATTCCTTGTAAAATATGTGATTTTTTTTTTGTACTCAGCAAGCACTTAATAAATGTCTGCTGAATCGAATATAACAGCTAGAAAAAACCATAGAGATAACTAAGTTCAAATTCCTAATTTTACAAATGTGTGAAAAGGGCTTAAAGAGAAGTGACTTGTGCTTTAAGTTTTTCAAGCTTAACATATATTAATTTATTCAGTAGAGTGGAAAGTTTACAGGATTTTGAGTGAGTGGATCTATGTTCAAATCTCATCTCTGCTATTTACTTCCTACATGACCTAGGCAAGTCACTTAACTTCTCTGTGTCTCAGGGTCCTCATTGTAAAATGATGGGATTGAATTGGGTCTGAGGATCCTTCCAGATCTAAAAATCATGATCCTATGATTACAAAAATTACTTTCAATCTATTGTTTGTAGTCAATTGCCAATGATAAATAAAAGGAAAACACAAGGTATCAAGAGGAATTATTTTGGGAATCCAAAACCTTTAATTGGTGAACAATAAAATCATATCTCTTTGAACTATGTTTAAAGCTGGTATGTATAACTTCCCATTTCTTGATAAGAAATCTACTGGTTTGCTCTGTAAGATATCAGAAAACACAAACATGATCTGAAAGGCACTTTCAATTTCAATGATGAGAGGAAGAGTGGTATGATATAGCATGGTGGGAAAAACAACAGTGGATTTGGAACCAAAAGAACCGGATCTGAATCCCAGCTCTGGTACTTAAAACTTGTGTGGTCTTGGGTTGCTCACTTAAGGTCGCTAGTCCTCAGTTCCTTATCTTTAAAATGAGAGGGCCTGGACCAGATGATCTTCATGGTCCTGACACAATCTAAATTCTATGATCATCATCTATCCAATGAAAGGATACTTCCTATAAAAAAGTTAATGTGTTTTCAGAATGATGATATAGCAAAGCATATTTTTCAATAACTATTTCTGGTGAGGAATAAATGTTCATTCACAGACATTTTTGGACTGCATTTTTGGACTACTAGAAATGAGGGCAGCAACAAATAACAGACTATGTTGATGTGGCCACAAGGGGGCACATTTCAATTGTACTCTTATCTTTTGGCTCATTTTTCAGCCTGCCTGAACATGTTAGGGTTAGTCATTTGGCTCGATGTGATGCTACAAAAGTTTGTTTACAAATTCTAGTGGTTTCAGCTTATCATGCAAAGAAGGTAAAATAAGTTTTAATTAAAAGTACATGCAGTAACTTAACTGCTATTTTAAATTTATCACAAGCTGGCCAAAGAATCTGATATGAACTTTAAAGAGAGAGGAAGCTAATTAAGGGCATACTAGAGGACTATTACATGGTGTATGGTAAAATCAACAAGTGAATCAGGACTGACATCCCCGATAGAGGTACTCTCTGAACTTTGTATGTAAATATGAAATAAGAGAAGGAGGGGATTACAAGATTTCAGTGCTGAAGTGAAATTGGAGGCAGGCTAAGAAAACCCACATATTCTTTACCATGATAAATATGGAATCTGTTTTGACAAGAAAGATTTTCTGGAAGGAACTATTTTGTGTGTATCACTTCAAAAAACAAACTGGAGAATAGCATAATATGCCCTTTCAAATAGAAAAATCAGATGCCATTTTAAACAGTGATGAAAACTTAGCTTGAAAACGAGGCCGCCTGCTCTTTTTTGGAAGCATCTATATCATTTATCAGATGTAGAGCAATCATTTAAACTGAGGTTTGGTCCAGAAACCTTAAACAGTATGGTGGTCATGTGCTGATGTTACCTATGGTGTCCATTTCCTGAGTTCTTTCCAGCTCCTGTTCATGTATATTTGCTGCCTTTACATTATTACTAATGTCGTCAACTTTATGTTCTTCATTTTGCATGATTCTATTCAACTTCATGTCTGTGTGATCTGAACCCATTCCTTTGGTACAACCAATTTCCAAAAGGTTTTCTGCTATAATGTAATCTGAATTTTCAGTCCTCTGATTTATTCCACCAGTTTCAAGTAGCTCTTCATTTTCTTCTACGTCTGATTCTGTATCATCATAAAGTTCCGGTGTGAAATAGACAGATTCGTCTTCTTCTGTTGTTTCAATATCTACATTAACATTGGAAAATTCAGCTTCTCCATGTACAGGACTAAGATCGAAGTCTGGATCCAGGACTTCTTCAGGGTAGAGTAGCTGTTCAGCAGGATCTTTTTTACTAACAGTATTGGTCAATGAAGTAATGCTTTCTGACTGTGGACCTGGGCCAAATGGTATGTTTCCTGACAGGGACGAGGACTGGCCTCTATTAGCAAGAGACAGACCGACTGTACTTTCCCTCTTTTCCTCTTTGGAAGGGACAGGACTGATGTCATGGTTCTCTGAAAATGTGCACACAGGTATGGAAGTCAGCAACTTAGGGGTAAAATATCTCTTCACAGAGTCAGATTCAGGACAGCTATTCCTTTCTATTTGTTTACTGAAGGTTGGACTTGTGGATCTTGATATTAAACATTTTTCCCTCTTTATTTTCTGTGGAGAATATTCCAACAATAATGAATCATCTGTGAACATTAAGGAAAAAAAGATAATTTTAATTTCTTCCCTCTGCTTATCCTGACCATTACTATAGTGAAATGATCACATTTTATATATAGATAATTAAAAGCTACATAGTAAAGGGAGAATCAAAGGCAGATAACATTAAAGACCAGCCATTCATCCTATAGAGGTCCAGAGAAAGGATGTATTCTGTCTAATTTCACAGTTTATCACTGTAAGAGTCAGGGCTGTCTCCTGACTGTCAATCCAGTGTTTTCTATTTAGGACAGGAGTGAAATATATGAAATAAATATTCCAATTTACTAAGTTTAGTGAGTAAGCTATATTAACAACAACAAAGATTACACGAATAACTATAATACAAGCTAGAATTTGGAATGTCCAAAGCAGAGGTAAATAGAACCATAAAATTTAAGCTAGAAAGCATCTTAAAGATGATTTAACACAACCCTTTCACTTCCCAGATTAGGAAATAGAAGCCCAAAGGTTAAATGATATTTCCAAGGTCATTAGGATAGTAAGTGGCAAAGCTGAGATGTAAACTTGGGTCCTATGACTACAAACTCAGTGTTCTTCCCGTATACTACACTGTTCACCACGTATAGTGTCATGAGAAATGTGAAGAGGGAAAAGATCATGGAAGGCTTCAAGGAGGATGAAAAATCCTGAAGGAAGACAGGTGCTTCAATAGGCAGAGAGGGTGGGGAATGGGGAGAGGAAACACTTCTCCCATGTGAGAGGGTATAGAGTAAAGGCACAAAGACAGCAGAAGGCAGGTGGACAAACAGTATAGTTTGGCTGAAATACAGAATACATTAAGGGGAGTGGTGTAAATTCAAGCTGGAAAGGTAGGTTGGAGCCAAATTGTAGAAGGCTTTGAATGTTGGTAAGGGTGATAAGCTTTATTTGGTAGGTGATAAGTAGCTTCTGAGGGTTTCTTAAAAGAGAGTTATGTGATCAAAGCAGTACAGTAGGAAGATTACTTGGGTATGGTGGGAGGGATGGATAAGAGATTAGTCAGTAGGCTACTGCCGTAGTCCAGGAAAGGTGTAATGAGGGCCCAAAATGGGATAGTTTTAGTGGCAATGAAAAGGAAGGACAGGAGGGAAGGACTTGGCAATATCAATTAAGAACCATGCTAAAGAAAATGGTTACAATGATAAGTCCCATTATTTTTCTAACTTACTGTCTTTAAGGTATGACTTTTGGTAACTGGAACAAATCACAACTCAGAACCATGCATCATGGATTTTAGAGTCAGTAGGGATCTCAGTGGCTATCTAGTCTAACCTATACCCAGAACGGAATCCTCCCCACCTTCCACCCCCCCCCCCATCATACTCAACAAGCAGTCATTCAGCCTTTGTCTGATGACCTCTAACAAAGGAGTACCCACTACCTCCTTTGGTAGGCCATTCCACTTTTGGACAACTTTAATTGTTAGGAAGTTTTTTCCTGATGTCAAGCCTAAATTTGTTTCTTTGCAACATCTACCTCTTGTCCCTGGTTCTGAACCCTGGGATCAAATGGAGTAAGTCTAATCCTTTTTCCACACGAGAGCCCTTGAGATACTTGAAAATAGCTCTTGAGTTCTCTCTCAGTATTCTCTCTCCAGGCTAAGTATCTCCTCCAGTGCCTTCAATTGATTCTCACATAATAAGGGCACGCAAGGCCCTTTACCCTCCTGGTTACCCTCCTCTAAACACACTCTAGTTTATCTAATATCCTTCCTAAACTGTGACACTGAGAACGGAACATAACTCCAGCTATGGTCTGACCAGGGCAGAAGACAATGAAATGATCATCTCTTTATTCCTAGAAGCTATGAGGCCCTAGATCACATTTGTTTTCTTGGCTATCGTTTTACACTAATGATTCAAAATAAATGTGCACTCCACTAAAATCCTTGTATCATTTTTAGATAAGCTGTTGTCTAATCAGCCCCTTCTTTATTAAGATGAAATAGATGTTTCTCTTTAGAATTAGCAATGTCCTAGAGTGTGGAAAGACTAATGGACTAGGGCTCAGAAGATTTGGTTTGACTCTTGACTCTGCCAGGTATTAGCTGTGTGACCTTAAGGCAAGTCTCTCAATCTTTCAGGGCCTCAGTTTCTTGATTTACAAAATGAAAGTGTTGGACTGGCTGACCTCCAAGCTCTAATGCTGTGATTCCCTGACACATACTTTTATTCTGGGCTGTGATGATGTTACTTGGGTGACTGTGTAGTTTGAGCTCCACAGCCATCATTGTAGAAGTCTGAAGCTCCTGGACAAAAGGTTTCCGTTCATCTTCTCCAAGAACATTTGGTGATGGGTGAATTGTTGATTCTAATAAAGATGTCGAGGACTCATCCTTTAAACAGGCCACTTCTTGTTCAGACTCGCTACTGTTTGGGGATGACACATCAATGACTTTTTGATGCTTTTTAGAAAATGCAGCCAAGGACTCCAATGCACTCTCAAAAGTTTCATGGTGCTTAATCTGTTGCCGAATCCATTTGGAAAGTCCTAGGAAAAAGCAAACCCAGGGAGAACAACCATGTTAAAACATCAAATTGTTTAGATGCCTTGATTAAACTTTTAGAAGAAACATAAAATGAACTTTTCGATTCTTTTAAAATAGCATGTTTTGCTTTATGGGAGTTCAGAATGTTTTATTTCAGGAAAGAAAAACTATCACACAGATAAAGTTGCCTCTTATTATTTGGAGAAACTGGGGGTGGGAAGAGGGAGGAAGGAGACCAACAATGTCTCCCACACCAAGTAACTAAATTGAATTAATTATTATTATTATTGTTGTTGTTGTTCATGATAACTAACACTTATATAATGCTTTAATGTTTGAGAAACATTTTACATATACTACTTCATTTTATCTTTATAAAAACCCTGTAAGACAAGTGGTATTATGATCTCCATTGTATACACCAGGAAACGGAGGCTGGGAGAAATTGTGAATTATACAGAATTATACAGCTACTAAGTGTCTGAAGCAGGATTTGAACTCAGGATTTGCTATCTCGACGTCCAACATTTTGTCCATTGCAGCACTTATCTTATTCACAGAGATCAAATCAAGATTCCATATTTTCATTAGTTTTGTCACTAATTTTCTTCCAAATACAATTGGACACCTTTACAATTCTATAGGAGTGTCAAAATTAACTGTACCACCTAGCTGCCCTTAGCACACAGTAAGCACTATATAAATGCTATTATTATTATTATTATTATTATCATCATCATCATCATCATCATCATCACCGTATTGGCATTCCTGAGACATGAAAAGAAAACAAAGATGGTGTGACACAGTAGAAAAGTAAATCTCTAGCTCTGCCATAACTACTCTAGAAATCTATAATTTAGTCATCCAATAGTACCATCTGTGTTGCCTTTAGTAAATAATAACCTTTTAGCATCAGTTTCCTCATCTGTAAAAGGCAATGTGATTAGGGGATGTTGGATTAAATGACCTGTCAGGTCCCTGACAGCTCTCAATCTGTGCATGTATGACCCTTTGTATATCTGACAGTTTTTCAATAGGCTTTCTGTGTCTGAGAAAGGTAAAAAAAAATACTCTCAGAGATAATATAAAACGATGAAATTCAATTTTCCTTATGATAAACCTACGCCGCAGGCTAAAAATTTAAGTTGATGTTATATTTGGAATAAAGAAATCTATAAGACTAAATAGGGGAGTTTCCTTTCTGTATCCTTTATGTTTTTATTTATAGAAAGAATAGCACTGTGGAGAAATTTTAAATTCTTCCAACTTAAATGTATTTGAATATTATACAGTTGCTTCTTCAGTTCTAGCTTTCTGTAAGTTGAGCTGGTCTACTCTGTATAAAGCTCTTGTTTACTATTAGAAATATAAAAGAATCTGAGCTCCACCTGCTGACGAGATATTGGCATTTAACAGTTATTTATCTTTAGTTATCTATTTCTCAGCCTGAAATTAAAAGAGGTTACTTTTTAAACCATCATGGGCAACAACCTCATAAAAGAAAGAAATTCAACTTTAATACTGATAGTTAAATTTTTGTATCAATCTGAATGTTAACTAAAAATATTGTGACTGCACTGTCGGTAGACCTGTAAGCCTATCCATATTGGAAAGCAATTAGAATAATGCTTTTTTAAAAAATTGATTTGAATATTCTTTGACCCAGACACTCCACAGCTAGGCATGTACCTCCAAGGAGGTCAAACAAAAACAAAAGCCTCTCATTTACCAAAATATTCATTGCAGCACTTTTGTGATAACAAAAACCTGGAAATAAAGTAGGTCTCCATTGATGTGGGACTTGCTGAACAAATTGTGGTACATGAATGTAATGAATTATTACTTTACTGTGAGAAGCAATGAATATGAAAAATTCAGAGAAAGATGTTAAGACTTATTTAAATTGACACAGTTGAAGTAAGCAAAATGATGAAAACACAACTATGACAATGTAAGCAGAACGACTAATTAAATTGAAAGATGTGCAATTAAATGACCATACTTGGACCCATGGAAGAGCTGAGAAAAGGCACCTCCATATCGCCCCTGCAGAGATGAGGGACAGGATTACGGGTGTGGAATATCCTGCGTAAATGTCAGATGAGGTCAATGTGCTGGCTAATTATGTTGAACTTTTTCCCTTTTTCTTTTTCAAATCTTTTTACAAGGGGAGGCATGGGTAGGGGGTGTTATATTGGGAATTATATTAGAAATGAATTATATTTGGAAAGGGTTATATTTGAAAATGAATGATGTGAAAAGAAGTAACAATAAAATTTTTTTTGACATGCTGTGATTGAAGTTTGGGGGCAGCTAAGTGGCACAGTGTATAGCACGCTGGGCCTGAAGTAAGGAAGATTCATCTTGGTGAGTTCAAATCCCGGCCCCAGACTACCTTACTAGCTATGACCCTGGGCAAATCACTTAACCCTGTTTGCCTCAGTTCCGTCATCTGGAAAAAGAGCTGGAGAAGAAAATGGAAAGCCACTCCAGTATCTCTGCCAAGAAAACCCAAATGGGGTCACAAAGAGTCAGACATGACTGAAAAAACAACTGAACTATGTGACTGAGGTTGGGAAGCTAGGTGGTGCAGTGGATAGAACGCCAGGCCTGGGGTCACGAAGATCTGAGTTCAAATCCAGCCTCAGACACTTACTAACTGTGTGACGGTGGGCACACCACTTAACCCTGTTTGCCTCAGTTTCCTCATCTGTAAAATGAACTGGAGAGGGAAATTTGAATGCTTTCTGACCCAGACGTTCCATGGCTAGGCATTTACCTCCAAGGAGGTCAAATAGAAATAAAAGTCTCTTATTTACCAAAATATTCACTGTAGCACTTTTGTGCTACTCCAGTATCTTTGCCAAGAAAATGCAGAATTGGACGTGACTAAACAACTCAACAGCAGCAACAATGACTGTATGCACAAATGTGACATAAGCTCAAAACGAGGTGTCCTGATGGTATAGAATAAGTCTAAAGTGAAATGTCAAGTCATAATGGCAATAAAAAAGGACAAGGTATTTCCCTCATTTCTTGCTTGAACTCAACTTGTATCTTCTCAGCATGAAGTTGAGTGAGATTATGTTGGTGATATATTAGGAAGATGAATTTAATAATGAACTAAAGCAAAAACACAAGTATCTACTTTTCTCTGTGGTGTAGCTCTACTCTCTTTTCTCTCTCTCTCTCTTTTTTTGGAGGTAATAGGAGTTAAGTGACTTGCCCAGGACCACACAGCTAATAAGTGTATGAGGCCACATTTGAACTCAGGTTCTCCTGACTCCAGGGCTGGTGCTCTATCCACTGTACCACCAAGCTGCAGCTCTACTCTCAAAAAAACCCCTTGTCTTCCAGTCAACTACATCCCGCCTCCTGGACACATACAGTACCTTTTTTTTCTTTTTAAAGTACAGTTACACCTCACTTAAGCAAAGGCTACCTTCTCAGCAACTTTACTGCCCAGAATGTACTGTAAATCACAGAAAGGAGTACAAATCATTGAGCAAATAAAATATGTCACCGTCTGCTGCCTGTGTACTTTATCCAAAGACCCCTTAGCTCATCACTTGCTTTATACACAATTTTAATAGATCTTTTTATCTGTTTCCTAACCCATAAGCAGATTAGGCAAATTAGGAGGAGAAGGTGCTAGAAGCAAGCACGCAATCAACAGTAAGAAGTGATAGCTAACAGCTTGACAGTGCATAAGCACATATAAGAACTAAAAGAAATCATAGCAGCCTGGGGTCATTTCGTATAGTGGTTTTGCCCAACACCTCTCAGTAACCTCAGAGGCCCTCCAGTATCCCAGCAAAGCATAATAACTGATGTTTAAAATTGTGGTAGGAACTGCGGTGTTTTTTTGTTTGTTTGTTTGTTTGTTTGTGAGGGCCCCAAGTGTAAGACACTGGGGGCTATGGCAGGGGAGGGGCCTCTGAGGCTTCTGCCTTCATTCAGTTCAGGTCTCTTCCCCTACTTTTCTGTTTTCCTCTTCAATCTTACTCCCCTTCTACTTTGGAAGCCCTGACCCACTGACAACCTATATCTAGGGAATGGCTTCTGGCTAGTAACTTAAGGGGGGTACTCAATAGGTTTTTTTACTTCCTGACTTAGAAGAGGCCAAGCCCAAGGAAGAATTGTTTCAGAGGTTATTCCTGAGCTCCAACTGTTCAAGGTGAACTTCCTTCCTGGGTTCCTGATCTGGTGAGTGTGTAGACTGAGGAGAATAGCATTTCCATATCCTTTTTAATTAGAAGTTGTATGCTTTTAATTGTTTGTGATTACTAAAATTGTTTTTGTTGCATTTTATGGTCCATGAGTGTGCCTCGTTGCATTTTAACCCTTGAGTCTAAATTACTGGACTGGCTGAGGTTAGGCCTGATCCACAATAATAATTATGACCCTGAGTCACTAAAAAAAAGGTTAAATTATGTTTAGCATATTGTGTTTAAGAAGGCAGCAAACTATGCAATCTATTTGAGAAATATTTCCATAAAAAATATTTAAAATAGAAAATGTTTTGTCACTTAAAGAAGCAAGGCTCAGTTATAGGGAAAACTCACCAATCTGGGACCTATCAGTCCCCTATGAGTTTATCATATTGGGGTAGCTAGGTGGCACAGTAGACAAAGCACCAGCCCTGGAGTCAGGAGGACCAGAGTTCAAATCTGGCCTCAGACACATAACACTTATTGGCTATGTGACTCTGGGCAAGTCACTTAACCCCAATTGCCTCATATCAGAAAACAAAAACAAAAAAAAAGAAATTTAAGTTTATCATATCTCAGATCCTGAAAAGCTCTAGAGAGATGACTTGATTTAAGGTATCCTGACAAGTAGTTAATAGTCTCCTCACAAAGATGTTTTCAGAAACAGATGATGTTTAAAAGACTGGATTTTTTTTTTCTTTTTCATGGAAAACATATTTCCATATTAGCCATGTTGCAAAAAAAAAAAAAACAAACAAGGAAAAGCAAGAAACATAATGAAAGGGAAAAGAGCATGCTTTAATCTGCACTCACAGTTCATCAGTTCTCTCTCTGAAGGTGGATAAAAGTTTTCATTATGGATCCTTTGGAACTGTCTTTGATCGTTGTCTTGATCAGAATAGTTAAGTATTTCAAAGTTGATTATTTTTACAAGATTGCTGTTACTGTATAAAATGTTTTCCTGTTTGCTCGCTTCACTTTGTATCAGTTAATATAAATCTCCCCAGGTTTTTCTAAAACCATCTTGCTCTTCATTTCTTATAACATAATAGTATTCCATTATAACCACATGCCACAATTTGTTCAATCATTCCTCAATTTATGGGCATTCCCTCAATTTCCAATTCTTTGCCACCACAAAGAATATGCTACAAACATTTTTGTACATATAGGACCCTTTCCCTTTTCTTTGTTCTTTTTGGGACACAGACCTAGTGGTAGTATTGTTGGGTCAAAGAGTATGCAAAGTTTTATAGCCCTTTGGGCAGAGTTCCAAATTGTTTTCCGGAATGCTTGGACTAGTTCACAACTCCACCAACAGTGTATTAGTGTCCTTATTTTTCCACAACCCTTTAACCTTGTATCATTTTCTTTTTCTGTCATGTTGGTCAATCTGAAAGGTATGAAGCGCTAACTCAGAGTTGTTTTAATTTGCATTTCTCTAATCAAAAGTGATTTAGACATTTGTAATATAACTACTGATAGCTTTAATTTCTTCTTCAGAAAACTGCCTGTTCACATTCTTTGATCATTTATTAACTGGGGAATGGCTCTTATTTTTATAAATTTGGCTCAGTTTCATATATTTTTGAGAAATGAGAACTTTATCAGAGAAAATTGCTGTATATTCTCCCTTTCCCCAATTTCTTGATTTCCTTCTAATTCTGGCTGCATAAAACTCTTTAAATTTCATATAATTTATTTATTTTATTTCATGTGATCCTTTCTATCTTTTGTTTAGGCATAAACTCTTCCTTTATTCACAGATCTTATAGGCAAAATTTTCTATACTCCTCTAATTTGCTTATGATATCAACCTTTATGAAAAGACTGGATTTTAAAAACAAAATGAGCATTTTAATATTTGATATGGGAGTTGCAACCTCAAGAAATATTTCTTTAAATAGACAACATTAAATAACAAGGATTATTATTAATTCCATTATACTGCCAACTGAGCATCTTACCAGATATATATTGATCTGGGTTTCTCCTGAAGCGATCATCAACTAAAATAAGAGCTCCCCAATCATTTTTATGCCGAATACACCTACAATAAAACAGTGGGAAAAAAAATTTGAGTTAATTATGTGATGAAACAAAATAAAAATTTTAGTTGGATAGGTAGAACCATGGAAATGGTCCAAACATGTCATTTACACATTCCTATAATTAAAACTGGATGTTAGGAGAGGGACGTAAAACTCCCCAGAAAGACAGTTATACATATAAACTAGATGTACCTTATTTTTAAAAACCCTCTCATTCTGTCAATTCTTGCTATCACTAAGCTAAGTGAAATCGTTTCTATGCATACAACAAGAGAATGAAATTATTGGAATTTTTTTTTTCACAAAACTATACTAACCAATTCCACAGTAAAAAAATTTACATATTTATGTATATTCTTTTAAATAATATCTATGCTTAAATGAAGTCTAGCCTGCCCATCTGTGGGTCATAGATCCCACAGTGGGTCTTAAGATTATGGGTTCCAAGACCTAGAGCTGGAAGAGTCTGTAGAAACCCCTATTTCAACTCCCAAATTTTACAGAAGAAGAAAGTGAGATCCAGAGAGGCCAAGATAACCAGCCAGAATGCCATGAAAAATCTAAAATCCTGGTTTAGCTGCCCAGGTGATTATCCTATGACTGTCATACAGCAGGATTGAGATTTTCAAGAGGAAATTGGATCACTACTTATTGGGGATATGGTAGAGAAAATGCCTGTTCAGGTAAAGGTTGAAGTCAGTCATCTCTGTGATTCAATCACAAGGCCATGAGAGTTGTCTTTTCTTAACTAGACTTCTTTTCTTTTAATAATTGTAATATTTTATGCTTATTCTGCATGTTCCTGGTGTTTTTCTTCAATTACTATCATTCATATGGAATATAAAATATAATTTTTAAACAATTCCTAATCATTATGGCATTCAAATTAGTTTTATTTTCATCTCTAATAGAAAAATGAAGTTTAGACTAGTTTTATGTTAAGCGAAATTTTGATTGACCAGAATGTTCCAGGAAAGGCATAATCTAAAGGAATCTTATGATTTAAAATTGGTTAATCCTTTAATTACTACAAATCTTTTTTTTTTATTTTAACCCTTCTTAAGAGATTATGGTAAAATATACTAGTATATTTCCTGCCTTAAAAAATACCGTGCACTGAACATTAATTGATCTTTCTTTTCTGATGATTCAGCATTTTGCTAAACACAAGGTCTCAAGGTTATGTTCGTGAACATCAATTCTCATTATGTAGCACTAATGCTACACATATAGATGGTGTAGAAGATTGGGTTGCAACTGAACTGATCCCAAGACATATTTCAGAAGATTTTTTTTATATATGTGTATGTTTGTTGTATTTTAATGTATATTTTTAAAGAAGAAATACCTTCATCCTTTTAAGTTTAATTTTTAAAAAATGTATAACTGATTAACTTTGTAGACTATATCATATTGTTCCTTTTATATAAAAATAATTTTGAATCAAAAGATTTCTTCTTGTCTATCCTAAGATTTTCCTGGTTACTTTTCTTCTCTCCTTAATACTTGTTTCTCTCTTGTGGCTTTTCTATACAACCCTGCCACTATCTTCCTTCTTTACCTGCCACTTTTCTTCCCCCTTCTATAGCTATCTCCTCTGATCTAGTGCTGTCAGGATTCACCTTTTATGGTTTCTTGCTTGGTCTGACCCACCAGTGTATTTCCTGCAGCTTCACTGAATGTTTTTTGAACTTGCCCTTCAAATGCTACATGTTAATGAGACTTCCTATTACTGTCAAGGAAAAGACCATCCCTCCTAGTCACCCAGAGTCTCAACCTTGGTGTCATGCTCACTCCTTACTTGAATTCACTCTACATAACTAATCTGATGTGAAGTCTTATTGTTTCTGCCTTTACAATCTATTTCAAATGTTCTCCCTTTTCTCTAGTTTATTCAGCCACCACCCTGACACAGGACCTCATCACCTTACCCCTGGACTCTTCAGTGCCTAACTTGTTGGTTGGTTTCTCCCTCAAGTCTCTCCCCACCCTAAGTCATTCTCTACTTAACCGGCAAGGTGAGTTCCTAGAACACACATCTGACCATGGCGCCTCCCCCTTTCTCTGACTCAAATTCCAGTGGGTCCCTGTTGTGTCCAAAATTAAATAGAAAATGTGCTATTTAAAGCCCTTCAGAAATTAGCTCCTTCCTACCTTTCTAATCTTACACTTTACTCTTCTCCATGTACTCTTATGATCCAGTGACAGTGGCCTTCTTGCTATTCTTCTCACACAACCTTCCATCTCCCAGCTCTATACATTTTCACTAGCTATCCTTCCTGCCTTGAACTCTCTACTTACTCATCTCTGTCTCCTGGTTTCCTTCAAGACTCTGCTCCAATGCTAACTTCTGTGCAAAGCTTTTTTTGATCCCCATTTCCCTTACCACCACTCCCACCAAGGCCAATGCCTTTCCTGCTGAGTTTAGCTTCCATTTACATTGCATGTATCTTGTATGCTTTGTATGTTGCTCTTCATGTTAGAATGTGACCTCATTGAGGGCAGAGACTATGGTTTTGCCTTTCTTTGTATCCTCAGTGTTGAGTACGGGGCCTGGCACATATGAAATGCTTAATTAATATTTGTTGACTGATTGACTTTGGGTTTTTTCCAGTAATACACCTTTCTAAAACTTTTACTCTGCAAAATATGTATTAATTGGGTTCTGAGATATTAAGGTTTTATTGTATCTATATATTACAAAGTATGGAGCAATATGATTAATCTTCAAAACAGTCTTAGTGACAGAGAGCTCATCATTATATATCTTACATTCCATAACCCCACTTACCTGCCGAGTGCCTGGTTCAGCGCCCTATAAGCTTGAATTTCATACCACTGGCGTCCAGGTAAAAGACCTCTTAGTTTTGAATGCTGGTCGTTGTACTTTCTCTTTAATTCAACCTAAAGGTAGGATGGAATATGTTGTTGTTGTTGTTATTATATTAATATTAATTTGTTAAAAAAAAAAGGCTAAAATGGAAAAATAAAGAAGTTAGTCTTTAAATTACCAAAGTATAATTTTTAGCTTGCTCAGGATGTTATTATGGGCGTGTATATCATAATTTAGATCCAGTTATTCATCTTTTTAGAATCACTTATAAATGTCAATCAGTGAAAAGGAATATATTAAAACACTGCTCTGTATCTCAAGGATTCCAAAGTCTCCCAGTTTATCTGCCCTAAAAATATATCAATCCTTTAAAAGTGAACTTCACAAATCCCTTGCTACAAATATACCATTCTAAATGATTTTTTTTATTTTATATATGCATATTTTTGCCTCTCTAAAGAGATCATATATTCTCAGTAGTCAAAAACAATATCTTATTCTTTTTGCTCTTATCACAGAACATTTTGCGTGAGTAGGTGCTCAGAGTTTATTGGAATGTATTCTAACTGTGAAATTGTGACTGGCAGTACTTTTAAAACCAATAAATCACGTATCCTTTCAGGAATTCTGATATAAGCAAATAAAAGGTGCCCCTAAAAAAATGAAACATTTCAATTTTAAGAATGTTATCTCTAAATATTCTCTTCAGTTGTATCTAAAGACAGTGACATAACTATGCTTTCTGAAAATTGGAGGGTTTTTTCCTTAATTTTAAATAAGAATAACGTGGAGGTCTCTCTCCTCAAATTTACTAAACTTTGGTTACAACCCAATGGCAGGAGTAATAATCATGACATTAGGTGCCAGAGGCACTTGGAAATTTACTATTTGTGTCATAAGTTTCCTTAAAAGGCAAATGGAACTATCCTCAAGACTAAATTAGTCCAGGGAAATTAGGTTTGAACAACAGCATACTGACATAATTTCCCTGTTATCTAAAACCCAAGATGCGAGCAATCATAACTCAAGCTTGATGGATTTCTCATTGCTGTGAGAATCAACACACCCTTCAGGCTAGACGCTCCCCAGTGAGGAACTGGACTAAGAGGGAGGGAAAGGGAACTTTGTACGAATGAACCTGTTCTGTACTCCTGCTGAGTATCCCTTCCATGCTATTGCTGAGTAAACTTCCTTTGTTAAATATTATATGGGCTACAAGTATCTCATCTCATTCAAATCCCTAGCTAGAATAACTAGACTGGCCTGACTCAGGCTTGGCTCCAAACACTTGACATAGCTGCCAGGATTGGTCTAGAATGACCTCATGGCAGGAGTGGGGAAAGAATGATGTGCAGACTTCAACTAGGCCCAGCCCTCAAGGTCAAGCTAGGAAATTGAACTGTTCATTTCAGGGGCTTATTAGCCCCCAACAGGGGAAGATCATGTAAATTAAAATTAAACTAAATAATCAGATTCTTACAACCCCAAGAAAACAGGACCTGGATTTCTTAACAAGGCATTAGATATTATGAAACTTTTTCTTTCCATTTTTATTGGCTACAGAAGATGGGTTTTCCAAGCTTGCTCTGCAAGCTGCCCTGACCTTCAACAAGACCAACGAGATGCCAATTATAAGCCTCCATAACAAATATCTGCTTGGTCTGTAAACATTGTGGGGTCACTGTGGCACCCAGGCAGACTGAACCCAGATGAAAAATCAACCACATTTTAGAGAGATGTGTTTTTCCACACTAGAATAACAAGGCAATCTAATAAGAAAAAGGCAAAGAATGCAACGGCAATAAATCATTGGTAATATATACACTGAATGCTTTGAGGGAAGGAGAAGTGATTTAAACAAAGACACTATGAAATTCAAACAGAATTGGTTTCACTACTGGGAGGAAAAGTAATACCTGGTCAGAACATATGGCATGCTACATTTCTGAAAAGGACACAGGCATCATCTAAATACTGCACAGCACTCTACTTCAATTTTCAATTCAACAAGCATTTATTAAGCACTTACTATGTGCCAAGAACTATGTTCCTTCCAGAAAGGTATGACTCTCAGCTACCAAAATAACTTGTGATATAGGGTTTTGTGGACTATGAAACGTACAAAGCCACAGTCATAAAGAAATACAGAATTGTGGCTTTTCCACCTGACTTACAAACCATTCCATTTAGACTGATGAAAAATTCTATATACAATAAGAAACCTCAATACAATATTGACTTAACTGTTAGTAGTAAGTAGTAATTCACAGTAAGTTACAGTAAGTCACAATCTATGAGCTTATGTTGGGTCTGCAGGGGTGATAATTTAATTCAGGGCTACATGGCATATTTGGAAAGTCATCAAATATAACGTTTAAATTACAAATTGAAATAATTTTATGAAATAAATTCATTCAGTTTTCACATGTTATCCATGCAATACAGCACTGAATTCTAGGGGAAAGTTACAGAACAGGTTACTATAACTGTTTTCCTTACTTAAATAAAATAGCAAAGCCAAACTGTTAAAGATGCAAGATCAAGCACAAATATGATCAATTTGTAGTTAGAATTTAAATATTAACAGACAAAATTAGTAATAGGGGTAACCTGTCTGGTTGTTGTTTGGTGTTGTTAAGTTGATTTCAGTTATGTCTGATTCTTCGTGAGCCCACTGGAGTTTTCTTAGCAAAGATACTGCAGTGGTTTGCCATTTCCTTCCCCAGCTCATTTTACAGATGAGGAAACTGATGCAAAATGGTGACTTGCCCAGGGACACACAGCTAGTAAGTGTCTGAGGCAAGATCTGAAACCCTTTTCTTTCTCATTCCAGAACCAGCAACCTATCTACCACACCACCTAGCTACTCCAAATCTATCTAATACTCTCAACATTTAAGCAATATGTTTGGATGGATCAAGCCCAAGTGACGAAATTTGCAATGCAGGGGTGTTCATTTAAACTCCATGCAATGGAATTTGTTTTAAATGAACCTCCAGGGAGGTACAAAATAGTTCCCAGGATTCTATCAATGAGCAAGATAATTAAGATGTAAGCTACTTTACCTGCAACAGACTTACAGTCTACGGGTGAGATAAAAAATACATGAATTAGTGAGCAAAATAGCAATGAAGACTAAATATGTAAGTGCCAAGGGGGTGCTTATATAGACTTATTAAAAAATATTCTGAGTGCTCATGGGATTGGTCTATTCCTGGAGATCAAATTTGCTGGGTCTTAGAGCAGGGATGAATATGAAGTAGCAGGAATAAGAGAACATCTGTTAAGTCAGTGACAGCAAGGGATTCAGGTTACAACTAGATACGCTGACATCCACAAATGGTACACAACACATTGTCACATGTTATTACAAATATAGTGGTAAGTATTGTTGAAGTAAACAAAGACATCATCTCTCACAAAGTTAGCTTTCAGTGGCAAAAGAAGGTGCTTAATAAATGTTAGTTAAGTGGAAATGAATGATTGTGTGGCTAAGAGGACTGTCATGACTAGGGGGTGCATAGTACACCGAGCACTGAACCTGGAGTCAGGCAGACCCGAATTCAGATCTGACCTCAGGTACTTACTAGCTATGTGTCCCTGGGCAAGTCACTTAACCTTCATCTGTCTCTGTTTCCTCCCCATCTGTAAAATGGTGACAATAATAGCACCTATCACAATAGGCTATTGTGAGGATCAAGTGAGATAGCATATGTAAAGCACTTTGCAAACCTTAAAATGCTATATAAGTGCTAGTTATAATTATAATTATTATTGTTATATATGGGAAGGTCAAGGAGTGAAGGTATTAAATCCAGGGCAAGTCGGTGAACAATGATGTGCCTTACTTTCCCTATTTGCAAAATAGCAAGAATTATTATTCCTACAAATAAGAATCAGAAAGGTTGCAAAGTTTAATTAGAAAATTTCTAATTTCAAAATGCTACATAAAATATTAATTAATAATAACAAATGACAACTCAACTATGCTTACCCACCACAAGCAACCTCCCAGTAAAATCACTCTGGCTGCCTGAAGATTCAGGCTTCAGTTTCTTGGCCATTGCTCTGACCCCCAAAACCATGGGCCCCAAGAAGAGTCTCTTTTTTGTTAAGGTCAGCTATACAAGAGCCTCCCTTGCTAATCACACTAGATCATTCCAGAAAATAAGACTAATTTCACATGCAAAACAACTGCTTCCTTGCAAAAGTTTTCCAGTTTTGATGTGGATCACTGGAATCAACTGTTTTTAACAAGACACAAAACTGCTCAAGAAAAAAAAAGAGGCATGTCAATGTTCTTTGCTACGGTGTTAACCTTTTTAAACTGACAACCAAAAGAACATGCTTCAAGAGAGAAAACAGAAGACTCCTAACTGCTTCTGACAGGTAACTTTCAACTTGAATTTGGGTAAGAAATTTTATATTATGTTCTTATGCCCTTTAAAAACAGCCTGTCAAATTTACCGATTCAAACTTTGTAACCAGAAAATAAATTTACTTTGATTTCATAGATCTAAAATTTGTTTAGTCACAAGTCAACTGTTCAATGAAGAAACATGTCCCCTTAAGTGCTAAAGAGGAGCTTCCATATAATACCGTGCAAATGCTAAATGATATGGTGTTTTAGAAAACAAAAAACTCTAACTACACATTAGAAAATGTACATAAATGAGTATTCAGCAATAAAAACAATGAGGGAATGTTAAAAGATTAAAGACTGTGTGTGTGTGTGTGTGTGTGTGTGTGTGTGTGTGTGTGTGTGTTTAGGAAAGATTCTATTGCATTTGCAAAAATCTCATATGTTGAACTACAGTTGTTTTGAAGACATTCCCTGACTTTCTCTCACAATGTAATTTAGGTGGTTTCTTAAATGAGATTTTCCTTGCAGGAGTTTGGTATCAATAGGTCTTTTGCCAATAGCAATAGCTTAAGGGTTTTCCAAGTATCCTGCCATTCTGATGGACTAGGTATGGCACCACACATGATAAGAGTCACTCTCCTTTTGCTAACAGTTACTGCTTGAAGTATATGATTATGAAGTAGCCAGAGATTATATAGCAGTTGCTGG